TCATTTATTTTTTTTTCCATTTGTCCAAATCACATTACCTTTCCGGTAAATTTCTGTGGGTCAGCAGATGTGGTGTTGAAGTTGTCAGAAGTAAATGGCTGAAAAATGAGAAAGGTGGTGAGCAGTGCTTGAATGCTCTTGAATGGTATTAATGACCTGGATTACAGTTTTGAGCATATTGTGTGTTAGAACAGTGAAGTGAGTAAGCAAGTAGCTCTTAATAATCCAGATTATTAATACCACCAATCAGAACATAGAGGTGCTGAGGTTTGCTATCTCACTTCATATTTCACTGTTTACAGTCTGCATTTTGTGTTCTGTGTGAGTCAAAAGTGTTGAGAGAGCTCAGCATGGAAATACCTCCCAGTGCATCAAGGTGTGCAGGTGGAGCTCTGTATGTCTTCACTGCTATTTAAGAGTGAGGCAGCAGCAGCACATCATGTTAGCAGCCAGCTGCTCCTGTCAGCCTGGGAACCAGATGGAACTGCAGGGAGCACCGCATTGGGACAGGTCTGCAGGGTTCAGGGCCACATCTACCATGACAGCTGGCAAACCATCCACTGAGGGAGCAGCTTTGCGGGTGGCTCTGCAGCAAAGAGTTTTCACCCAAGTCATCATTCTGCAAGCCAAAAGTGCTGTTAGACATTGCCATCAACTGGGGAGAAGGTGGGGTGTTCCCAAAACCTCCTGGGAGCAGAAAAACCTTATAGCAGCTGTTCTGCTGTGGATTCCCAGACATTGTCTCATCCACCAGAGCTCCTAATTAAAGGGATCCTTGATCTATTGTGGGGATATCAATATTTCCCCATATCAGCAGGGTTTTGCAGATAAGTGTATTGCAGATGATTGAGAACACAGACACTGATGTTATATAAATAAACAAGCACCGTAAAATAATGGTGGTAAATAACTACTTTAGCCATGAATCTCTTAGTTTTCACTGTTCTTAGTTCTCACCCAAACGCCTGGGGGATGTGGTGGTTTTTCAAGAGAAATGTGTAAAGGTCCCTTAGGCTGAGCAAGATGCTGAAGCCAGAAATCCCATTTCATGGCTAAGTGCTCTAAGTGCCACGTGCATGACTGTATGGAAGTGAACAGTACCATCGCATCCTCCACCTTCCTGCTGTAAGCAGTACAGCAAGTCAGTGCTCTGAAAAGACACATCTGAGTGCCCACCATTGAGAAGTGCCCACCTGTGACGCCGGGCAGGTGAAGGGCTGTCTGGTTTCAGGGTTCTGTAGTTGTTGGTAAACAATAAGAAGCATAGAGGAGAATCCAGATGCCTAGTACTGAGTATGGGCTATTGGAGCTCCATGAGCAGGATGTGGGCGGTGAGCTGTGGTGTGGCCTTAAAGCCCATTATGTCTGCCCGTGTGCATTTTTGTACACTGAGGTAAATGCAGAACGACTTATCTCCTAAAAAAAGGGGAAGTAATCCAGTCCATGTCTGGTAGGATATACGAGTATGGGTGTCAGCAATTGGTATGAAATAGCTGCTCGGCTTGAAGTCTGTGCTCTGATTGGTTCACGTAAATTAATGTTAAAAGCTTTAAAATTTGTAGTTGTGGCAGATGCTCTGTTTTACTACGAGATTTAGCTTAGGAAAAAAATATATTTTGAATATGAGGCAAAAGTGTCCCATTTTTGTTGGCAGAAAGTTAGGGCTCTCCCAGATGACTTCTGTAAGCAGCTCTTCCATGTGAAGGGAATAGGAGCACTTCTTGACAGCCGTACAGCTCCGTGTTCTGATGTTTACTGAGTCTCCACAGTCTTTGCAAAGCACACTGTGTTCTTTCAGTACGTATGTCCATACTTAAAGAATTAATGAGTAGTTACTAGTGTGAAGAAACTACATACAGATGTTTTGAAATCAGATCTGCAATATTTTTATACTGCTTTTTAGTTTTAGTTCTGAAACTGCCTTATACAGCAGCATGTGTACTTAAGCCAATATTACATGCAAAAGTAATAATCACATAAATATCTGTCTACTGCAGTATGTATCCCTGCTTTTAACCCTATACAATAGATGTTGGTTTGTTGCTTTTTTCTTTACAGAACAAGGAAGTACAATAAACATTACTCAGAAGAGTGGTCTTATCTATTCATTGAAACCAGAGGACTGTATGTAACTCTGTGTTTGCCTTTGCTTTCAAAGATTGCTCAGACAGCAGCAAGCCGCAGTGGTGTCAGATAGGGACATGTTTCTGCAGCTGTTTATAAGCTGCAGGACTGAAATCCAGCTTCTGGATCCACACACCAGTGCAGCAGAGGAGCTCAGTTGATGTGGGGCAGCCCCTCCTTTGCAGCTGCTCCACGCTGACTGTACTGTCATGGCTGAGGAAGCAGCTAATGCAGTCGAAAAATTGGGTGTTTACAATCTCCAGGTTTAGGATTACTCTGAGCAAATCCATCAAAAATTCCTGCATGACATTTGGGCTACAGCAACCTGTTCTGTGCATCTGGACTGAACTTGTGCGTTCCTGCTTTGTTTTTCGCTCTTGATATGTCATTCCTAGCATTTTTTTCAGCTTACTTTCTTCCCAGGTATGAGTGATCTTTTCCCTCAGTGGATTATTGATTTTGTTCCTACCTTTATCCTCCTCTCTTTGTGTTGGTTTTTGTTTTGCAAAGAGAAATCTAACTTCAAGAAAGCTGCCTCGTGCCCACCCCCAGTTCTTCTGAGCTCATCTGTTTACCTTTTCTTCCCCCGCAGAGCGTGCAGTGTTTTCACTCTCAAATCCTACGTGCTTTTCCTGCCACTTGTTTAAGTTATGCTGTGGGCTTATCTCCTGCCTCTCCCCTAATTCCTCTTTTTTCCTCCTTCCATGACTATTTAATATTTATTATTATTATTATTATTAGAGTTCTGCCTGCCTTTCTGGACATGTTAAACATTTCTTATCTAGTTCTGGGGTTTTTTGTTTTTGTTTTTGTTTGTTTTTGTTTTTTTGTATGGAAATAAAATTGTAGATACTTACCAATAGTAATAAAAAATATACCAGCACTCCCCCCACTCCATCCGTTGATCTTCAGAAACAAGCAGACTCCTTTGGGCTGAGCTCCCCACACTGCCCTTAACAGGCTGTGGCAACAGGTGTGCAGTGACCCAGCCTTGTGACATGTGTGTGTGTGGGGGGGGGGGGGAATTTATAGCAGGTCCCTATTTTTTTTTTTGTCATCACATGATTTAGCCAGCACAGCAGGCCCTGTGGGTAACTCACAGGTGCAGAAATCATGTCTGTGAGTTCTCTGTGTATCTACAGAAATCCCTCTGAGCACCAGTCAGCACTGCTGTGCCGTGCAGGTGATGGAGCACTGGCAAAGGCTGCCCAGAAACAGTGGGTCTCCTCCCTGAGATCTTCAGAAGCTGCCTGAATGTGGGCTTAGGCACCCTGCTGTGGGTGTCCCTGCTGGAGCAGGGGCTGGGTCAGATGGGCAGCCTCAGCCAGTCTGTGATGCTGTGATTTAAAAGACTGGTAGAGAGAAGGCATCTTTTGGCTTGCAGATGCTGAGGAAACTTCCTGAAGCTATAAATGGAAGCATTTCATAGAACTTGCCATTGTCTCAAAATAACATCAGCCTGGCACATCTGGGACCCAGGGTACAGCAGCGAGGTACACAAAGCTGTTGTTCCCTCTTCAGTGAAAACTTTGCCTAAAAAAGGCCATGGAATCAGTGGCGCCCACTGGGAAGAGGAAGAGCGCTTGCAAAGTGACGAGGAGCTATGTGGCAGCTGCTCAGCACAGCCTCTTGCTGCCCCACAGTGCTAAGCAGGGCCCAGCACCAAGAGTTAGGCTGTGAGTAACACAGAGCACAGCAGTGGAGACATTTGGAAAAATTTCTTCTCAGAAAGAGTGGTGAGGCAGTGGCACAGGCTGCCCATGGGGGTAGTGGAGTCACTGTCTCTGGGTGTGTTCAAGAAAAGCGTAGATGCAGCACTGAGACAGATGGTGAGTGGGCATGGTGGAGATGGGTTGATGGCTGGACTAAATGATCTTAGTGGTCTTTTCCAACCATAGTGATTCTGTGTTTCTAAGGGGCAAAATGAGGTGACCTGCAGCCTTGGTGACATTTTCTTTGGTGGGCCGTGACTCTGGGAAATAACTAACTGATGAAAGTACAGGAACTGCCAAGGCTTCGATAGCGAAAAGAGAAACACAATGGAGGGTAAATCTACACTGACAGCTCTGCGAACAACATGCATCACCACGGTTCTCTAACATTGATCTGGCTGTGTGGAGTCAGCCCCTTCATAAATAAACGTAGAGCAAACAGTTTTCATGTCTGGCTCCTGTCAGGTTAATTTATGTTTGCGGGATTCAGTGAAGTTGTGCTGCATCCGCATTGACAGGAGGTGAACCCAGCTCCTCACGTCTTCACAAAAGGAAGCACAGCCCCGGTGAAGTCCTTCACAATTCATAACGCATTTTGGACAATGCTCTGCTTCCAGACTGCCACAGACTGCAAGCGTGTCCCCGTGGCAGGAGGTGCATGCCAGCAGTTTGGGAGCACCGTGTGGGAGCGTGCGGGGTCTCTCAGCACCCTGGGGGTAAGCATGGTACCTGCAGCCTGTGGGGGCTTGCAGGGCTCGTGCTGCTGGCGTTTCTGGAACGCCCTGCGGGTGACACAGCAGCCTAGGCAGGTGCCAAGTCGAGGCGAGGTTTTACAAAGGCCATTGTTGACTCCTTGGTTCACCATGTAGGGGAAACGTTGCTTGCCGCTTCTTTAGGGGGGAATTCAGTGCTTCTAATTTTAACCACCCAAAAGCCAGGCACGCTGCCTGAGCTCAGGGCTCGCCCCACAAGGAACACGGGCACCCCTCTCCTCGTCGTCTCGCGGGCATCAGGCGTCAAAACACCGCTTCGCGCCGCAGGTCCTCACAGCCGCCTCTCCCGAGGGGAACCCCAACCCCGCGGCCGGGCCGGGCAGCCCCGCAGCCCCCCGGGGCGGGCGGGAGGCGCCTGCGCGCTACGGCCGCTCGCTGCCGGCCCCGGGCTGGCGCCTCCCGCAGCCCGCCGGCGGCTGCTGCCTATTTTAGTCACAGCGGCGGCGGGGGGCCGCGGCGGGACGCGGGGCCGGGCGGGGGCTGCCGGCACCGGGAGTCGCGAGGAGCGGGGATCCGTGCCGTCCATTCGTCCGGGAAACTTTGCCGAGGGCGCCCAGCAGGGGGCACGGGGACAGGTGAGGGGCCGGGGGCGGTGGAACCGGGCTCGGGACGGCGTGGTGCCGCGGCTCGCGGTGGCAGCGGGGTGAGGTGCGGCGCCTGCCCCGGGGCGGGCTGCTCTGCTCGTTAATCTTAAAAGCGGCCCAAGGAATCGGTTCCTTGCTTCGCTATTCGTTTTGGTGCACGCGCGCTTTGGGCTAAAACAAAGCTTGGAGGTGTTGGTAGAAAGCGGGACTACAGGCGGCAGCTGCGGCCGCATCCGGCGGGGCCGCGCCGTGCCTGTGCGGGCGGTGTCTGTCCGGGGCGGGCGGCGAGGCTGCGGTGCGGTGCGGTGCTGGCATCGGGCTGCCGTGGCTGTGAGCCCGCGGGAGGTGCTCCTCGCAGGTGTGCCTTCTTGTTCGCTGCGCAGAGTGAAAATGCGGCGAAGTTTGGCGGGGTTAAGGTGTAGTTGCCGAGGTTTAACTGAAGTGAAATTGCCCTAAAGAGCATATGGAAAGGAAGCGTTTCTTACAGCGCTTTTCCATTCGCGCCTACTTCGTTATGAGAAGGAAAATGGTGCCTCGAACGAAGTGCCTCTAGGTGCCTCTAGGAAGTGCGCTGTGAGAGCTGGCTGCTCCGTGTGTCCCGTATCAGCTCGGTAAACCCCCTGCACAGCTTCTCCAAATCCCTTTTGGAAGGTATCTGAGGTTTGAGGGACCTTTGGGCTTTTGAAAGTCTGGCCATGTATAAAGATGTTTTGAGCACAGGAAAATACGACGGCAAACTCAGCTGGAGTATTCAGTTGCATTCTGAGAGTGTATTACTGTAACTCTTTACAAGTATAGTGCACGTAAGAAAAAATGGTTAGGCTTTCCTGCTAGCTATGCTAATTTCTGATCGATTTAGTATTGCTGTGCCACTGAGTTTGTTCAGTGTTAAGGTGTTCCTTTTTCTCAGGTCAGCCAGTTGGCTTGAGCCTTCCGTCATCTGGATAAACTCTTGCTATGGTGTATCTCAACCTATATGAAAGAAAAATTATTTGGTAATTAAGAAGTATTCTTTTGTCTTGTACTACAAAACTTTGTGCTATAACACGTATGTTTCAGTTGATACTACTTCCACCCTTTTCTCCAGCGTGGTTTGGCATTGTTTGTACTTTCATCTTTGATATTAACACGAAGTCCTGTGCTGTACCAGAACAGTTTCTCAGGGGAAATAACCCTACATCACAGCTGTAAAGGGCTGATTCTGCACTTCTAAAATGAAAACTTTGGTGCACTGAGGTTCATCTGTTGAACAGCAGATTTTTAGCTCATGCTGCAACATGACAGCATTGGAGGTGAAGACTAAAGAACTGGATCTAAAAATCAGAGTTCTCACTTTTGACCTCCTGGCGTTAACTGTGGGTAGCACTTTTAGGCCAATCAAATTTCCAGTTCTTTCCAGTTTGGCAGTATCAAATGTAATCGTATGAAGACTTAAAGGTGTTAGCTTATAAAAGATAGACCTGTCTAGATTTAGCTTCCCAGGTTGTAATTTAGGCAGCTAAATAGGTGGTGCAGATGCTCAAAAGCACTGAACATCCCCTTGTTACAGCTGTGGAGGCTCTACTGGCAAAGATGTCCATTAGCTTGGTCAGATGCTAGAGAAACCCTTCTGTTGTCCTGCTTTATGACCATGGAATCATAGAATATCCTAAGTAGGAAGGGACCCTGAAGAAGCCCTTGAGTCCAACTGCAGGACCATCCAAAAATCAGACTGTGTGACTGAGAGCATTGTCCAGATGCTCCTTGAGCTCTGGCAGATTGAGGCCACGACCACTGCCATGAGCAGCCTGTGCCAGTATCTGACCACCCTCTGGAGAAGAACCTTTTCCTGATAACCCAGGCTGGATCATGACACTGGAATCGTGGTTTGCAAGAGCAGAGTGACTGCCATGGGCCATAAGTCTTCAAATTGTGAGGTGTTCCAACCAAGCCTTAGGAGAGCAGGGCATCCTCTGTTCTCTCGTATGCACTGCAAAATGTTACATCCTGATGATTGGTAGCAACTCAGCATAATGCATGTTCATGCCTTTGTGAGTGACTGATGCAGGAATCGGGGGGGAGAATGAGCTCTTAAGAACAGAAATAAGAGAACTATGGTGTTTCTTTGGTTGTTGGCTTTATTTTGTAAGAATTAGATACTTTTTTTTTCCTTTGAGAACCATCTCAACGTGGGGACGGTGTACACCATATCCTTGCAGTGTTTGATCCTGCTAAATGTCTCTGTGTTCTGTAGCATGCCTTATCTGTGGCACTCTGGGCAACTGACAGCTGTAACAGCGACGAGATAGTTGAATTTTCCTTCCTGGTGTCTTTCTCCCCACTGCTTTAAAAAGGGGGTGAAGAGACTCTTTATTTTGAGACATTGCCTGACTTCCTTAAGTCTTGAACACAAGTTGACTGGAGGAAGTAGGAGAATGGATGGCACTGAAGCAATGTTAAGTGTTGAAGAGGTGCTCAGTGCAAAAGCAAACAAACAAAAAAAGCCTATATATTTTTAATTTAGGAATCATGTTTTTTTTAATCCTTTTATTTTCTTCTGGAGGTCTGCAGAGTCCTGCAAGGTTGCTTATAGGCAGACCAAGTGGTTTGCCTGAAGGACTTCATCATAACTCACCAGCCTGGGTGTCTCCCCTTTTGGTCTGATAGCTCATCAATGGGCTGAGAAACCATAACATTTATTTATTGTTTTCAGAAGTAATTTGTTGGGTAGATGGTGCTTTTGTCTTTGGTTCGTTGTTTTTTGCATTCTCTGGTTAATTAATGCTAAATAATATGTTGTTTAGGAGACCCCAAATGATGCTGCAGGAGAGCCAGATGTTAAGGCTCTTCCTTTTTTTTTTTTTTTGTTTTGTTTTTCACTTTGTGGTGTGTTGTTTTTTTGGGTTTTTTTTATGTTTTTTAAATCAAGGAAACAGCATTGTTCCTCCCTTAGGAACCACCAGTCCTTATTTAGAAGAAGGACTCAGTGTGTTTTAAGGAAACCTTACACTAAAGCACCCTTTTTTTTTGCTTTGAAGTTTTATGCAGGTTAATTTCTCCTTGAGATCTATTGACTTTGTGATCTTGGAGCCATTCAGTAAATTGGAGACTAAAAAGGTGATTCTTATTTGTGCAGGACATGGAGGAATACCCTGCATGTTTCACTGAGCAATGTGAGTTATAGTAGCTAGTGTTCAAACAATGTTGTTTATGCATGGCTTCCAAAACTTGAAGTAGACCATTCTTGAAGCTTAACACTTAGGTGAAAGACACTATCTAGGTCTAGATTGCCCTTCAAAAGCATTTTTCCATGAATGCTTCAGTTTAATGTGTGTTTGTTTTTTTTTTTTGTCTTCTCTTTGCAGGATTCTTCAAGATGGACACTACAGCAATCAGCCCACTCACTCCACTAGGCATTATTCCAGACTTAAAAAATGCCACTTCTGTGCCTTTCAATGAGACTGCCTGTGAAAACTGGAAGGAGATCCATCATCTTGTTTTCCACGTGGCAAATATTTGTTTTGCAGCTGGCCTGGTTATTCCGACGACTCTGAACCTTCATATGATTTTTCTGCGAGGTTTGCTCTCCATAGGTAGGTGACTGCTTATGGAGAAGTTTGCACCCTGCCTGTGGCAGAAACAGGGGAGTATTACAGGGGCATCTCCAGGTCACAGTGAAATTCCAGCATGTATCCATGTACTCTGTGTTCTGCTGAAGTTGTTTTTGCTGAAGGCAAGGACCATTCTGACCCGGACAGGTATTTTTCAGAATGGTTATTTATCTTAAAATTTCACAGAGACGCAGTTTACAACTTCAAAACTGCATAGATGTTGACTTAAAAACAAGTGTGCTGCATTTACTTTAAACTTCTCTAGCTGCTTAAAATTAATCAAATTCCAAATTGCAGTGAAATTCTTAAATCTTAAAGATCTTACCTTTTACTTGAAGCAAGCCTAAATGCTGGGACTATGCATTGGCTGATGCTCTGGCTTAGTAAATCATTTATAATAAGTAAGGTTTTCTTTGGAGAGCTTTGAACCATAGGTTTTCTTGTGTTTTGAACAGATACAGAATAAAAATTTGTGAAGATGAGGTGGCAACTGGAAGCAAATTTACTCTGTGGGCAGTGGAAGATCTGGTTCCTATGGATATTTGTCCTGTGCTGCTCCACAGTGTCACTCCTCCAGGCTTAGTGTCCTCATTTCTTCCTAGTTTAATTAATCACATGTTGATTTTTCTGATCCATATATACATGCTGCCTGGCCAGACACCCATACAGAATATTGAGTTCATGTTCAGCGTTACCTTCAGGGAAAGACAGGAAAAGGAAATTTAATTGCATATCTGATCCCTTTTCTTCTGCATGAATACTAAGGGAAAATATATCTGTCTACATCCATCTCTATTGGACATGGCTGAATTTTGCCAGTTGTTTCACATTTATCTGCAGGGGGCTCACTGATGCATAACCAATCATCTGTTAAGTACTGTCTTTGTAGCTAAAAATAACATCCCTGATCATTAAGCATGCCTTATCTAGTAAAACAATTGTCATTATTCAAAACAAAGTAACTGAAAAATAATAAGCATTTGAAAACTTCCCTTTGATGTCACACCAGAGGATTCTAGTTTCTGCTGTGACTTTGTCAGAATACAGTGATAATGCTTCCCTTTCATTTTCAAAAATATCTGTGCACGACTTCAGGAGATTTTTGTGCAAGTACAGCTCCCTAGTTAGACATAAATGTCTCTGATGCGGATAATGAACATTTGTTTCTAGGCCATTGTTTGTCTAATTAGTGCACTAATCAAGTTTTGTAAGCTGCTTTTTTAATGTGATTTTTTTAGTAACAGGCCATCATGGGCTGCACCTCTCTGCTGTCCCCGTTCCCTTCCTGAATTCTTGTTGCTTCAGTATTGTAGCCTTGTACAGTGGGATTGCAGTCCCACTGCCTCCTGCTGGCATTGTAGTCGTTACTCATGCTACCATTGCATGCGCTGATTCACAGAGCCTAAGTACAGTAAAACTTTTGGGTGTATTTGCACTCAGTGGACAAGCTCTTGATGATTTTTATAAGTGAATGTGTTTATTAGCCAGTGAAAGTTAATTTCCTTTTTTAATTTTTTACAGGATGTGCATTGTTCATCATTTGGGCTACACTCTACCGTTGTGCCTTGGACATAATGATCTGGAATTCTGTGTTTTTGGTGGTCAATCTTTTACACTTCATATACCTAGTGTATAAAAGAAGACCGGTATGTACACCAGCTACATTACACCAGCAGTCTAGTAAGATGCAAGAAAAAGAAAGTTTTGACCATATTTGCTGGACAAATCTATCACTGAATTCTGCAGGAGTTGTTTTGAATTAAGTCAGCCAATAACTTCAGTAAGGATCCAGCCCATTAGAATGCTGTTACTTGGTCTCATTCAGTACATATTTTCTTGAAATCCATATTCTTAAAGTGGTTTGACTTCAGAAGTTACTATTGGCTGTTTTTCCTTCTGATAGTAAGGAAAAAGTTACTTAGCTTCTTAGCCAAGGGACCAGGAACACTTTTGGGTTCCCCTTGTTTCTGTCTTTTGTAATTTTACCCATCTTTCTACTTGTATATGCACATCGATCTCCTGAAATAAAAGTCTTAGTAAGATATTTAAAAATGAGCATTCCAGAACAGTAATGGCTTAAACTGAGGAGTTTGGGAGAGACAAAACTTTCCTATCTGATTTTTAAGTCATAAACAGCCTCTGTGATGAGAAAGGAGACTGGTAAATTAGAAGCATCCAAATAGACTCTTACTTCTATATTTATGAATGACCTTCATACTCATCACTTTGCACACAAGTGTACTAATCCATATGTTTTTACTGTCATGTTCTTTTAAAATGCAAATAAAAGATAAATGAGATTCTACTATTGTTTTTAAAAGAAAACAACAAAGAATCTTCTTGCACTTTCCTCATCTTACGCATTCTTTTTGCTCATTATTGTATTCATTGAGTTTTGAGAGTCATGGCTGACAATTTTGCAACTCCCTTTGTTGCCTTCAAAAGGGTGCATTAAAATACCTCCCTTCAAATGCACCATAGTTATATATTTGAAATACATACCAAAACCAGAGGATACTTTGCCCTGCCTTCAGCTAAATGTATATCCAATAGAAAAGTATTTTGTTTTTATTATTCATCCATAGTTGCATTCTGTCTCTGCAGAATGATAAGCAACCCAACCTTCTGCTGGTATATGCATGTCAAAACTAGGTAACATGTAATACAATATTTGCTATTACATACCACTCAAATTTTAATGAACTGCTAAGTGTTCCAAGTGTTAGTATTACATTCTGTGGTCTGCAGAGTCTAAGTTATATGGATTTGTAATGTGAAGATTACAGGAATATGTGGTGTCATATTGTCAGGTTTTGAGCAGAATAACCTTGCTTTTACTTAAAATTGAATGCTTTCCAGAAGTGTTTAACATTTGATACAACAGAACTGCTGGAAATAATCTCTTCACTACATCAAGGTGTTGTGGAGAGTTGGAAAAGAAACTTAGATTCAGCAAGTGCAAGCCCAGAGTCCCATACCTGGAGAGGAATAACTGCGTGCATCAGTACTGGTTAGGGGCTAGAAAAGACAGGAACTGCTGGAAAGCAGCTCTGCAGAGGAGGACCTGATGTCCTGATGGACAACAGGTTGACCATGAACTAGCAGTGTGGCCAAGAGGGCCAGTGATATCCCAGGATGCATTAAAAGAAGGTAGCCAGTAGGTTGAGGAAAGTTCTTCTCTCCCTCTACTTTGCCCTGGTGAGGGGTCACCTCTTCCCTTCCCATAGATGTGACATGGGGTACATCTGGAGTTCTGGGTTCCTCAGCTGGGGGGCGAGGGAGGGAAGGCATAGAACTTCTGGAGGGTCCAAGGTTGTTTAACAGTGAACTTTGTAGATGTGCACGCTCATCTTCCAAAATTGTTGTTGTAGTGGTGAATCTTAAGCAGTCAGTTGACATTGTTACCCACAGTTCCATACTCCAGGTCTTGACCAGACCTAGGGAATGAAACGATGGATCTTGCTGGAATCATATTCTGTATGAAACCTTCGTAAACACTTCTGCTGAGTGACATTAGTGCCGGAAGAGTCGTCTTCAAACAAATGTCAGTACAGTTGACTTTAAGAATGAATGACAACCTCTTGACATTCTCTATAATCTCAGATAAAGATCAAGTTAAAGTCTTGAAACCATTACCACCTGTGCCTTTAGTAAATCTTTAGTTCCTTCAATCTTACTCAGTATTGAACTGCTTTCTAAAGACAGAAGTGTGCAGGAAACAGAAATGTTAAAATGTAGGAGGAATATCAAATACCTGTAATGGGAAGGTGCTCTATGTAGACATCAGCTGTTTTCTGTCTTACATACTGATACTGAAGTACTGCACAGTTCATTCCAGAAATGAAAGGCCTCTTAAATGAATCATGTAATACTCAAGTCTAACAATTAAGAGCACTTTCAAAGAGTACAAGTAATTACTTGTGGTTTCTACTTCTGAGGCAGTAGGTTTATTTACAAAAGAGAAATGAGGAGTCGGAGTCACCTTGTTTCTCTCTATCTACAAGTTACACATTCAGCTTAAGCTAGTTGTCCAGTGTAATTCAACCTACCTACCTAACAGCTGTTGGGAGGTGTGATATTGCCATTCCTCTCCTTTGGCTTGAGAATAAGTCTGTACAGCTATTGCTAACTACTAACCTGTGTTTATGTAATAGTTTGATTGTATTTCCTTGCTGTTTTGTAGCAGTATAAGGAAGAACTCAAATAACTTAATGCTTATCTAAACTGTACTGGGATCTGTGGTCTGGTTCTCAGGAATTCTGTATTCTTTCCACCACTGCAGGTATGGTGCTATGGTTTGTCAGTGTCTCTGGAAACGGAACTCTTCATTCTTAATAAATCACATGAATTTAAACAATGGTGGAAATTACATGGAGACAGGGTAGCATCCCAAACAATGTATGAATCACTTTGTTACAGGCTATGAGCAACAGCGTTACTGGAAGTGATGTGTTACAGTCACACATCTTTTTAGCTGTTTGACATATTCTATTTACTGTGAACTCTAAGGCAGTTTAAGTGTTTTTCTACAGAAAGTTGGAAAATGCCTAAAAAGGAAGAAAAGAAATTATTAGGAACTGATTTTGAATGAGCTTTTCCTTTCTGCGTCTGTTTTATTGCCCATCTTAAAATCAATTTTATTTAGTCATCCTCACAAATTACATTTTTAAGGAAAGAAAAGAATGGAAGAATAATTACAAGTTAGCGATATTACAAAATGAATAATTAATATTTCCAGTTGTTAAATATTTATTTTATTAAATGGAGCATGCAAAATGCAGTGAGTTTCTTTTCTGACTAGAAGATTATTTCTGTGGGTTTGATTCCTTGGAGCTTTACAGATTTGGCTTTTTTAGTCTGAGTGGAAGCTGAAGGATTCTTGTCAGTGTCTGTACAGAGCTCTGTAGTCAGTGTCTGTACAGAGCTCTGACTTGGAGCTTTGGCAGGATCCCAGAATATTTCAACCACTGCTGAACAAAACATTACACCTCCCGTATGGCTCATTTGGAATATGACCCATGAGCATGACTGGAGAAGCAGTCAGCTATGCATGTGGAGGGTGAATAGTCTGTTACAAGCAAGACTATATGAAGTTCATCTATGCTGCTTAACCTGATCAACCTTTAGGAAAGTAGGTGTGCCTTCTTCCTCTTATAAGTGTTAAATGTTAGAGGAAGATCATGAGTTTGGAATTGTGTACTCATTTAAGGGAATGATCAGCATTCCGGGGCCAAATCCTCTCCTCATGCATTGTTTTGGATTCAGGAGTCTTGGGAGCTGCTTGTATTCATCTGTGGAAAGAATTTGTCTCTTTTTGAGTTGCAGTGGTGATGGATAAACAGAGATACAAATTAAATTGATACCTCTGTTAAGAATGAGGGAGTTCCTCAAGAACTGGGGAAACAAGAAATGGGGAAAACAAATTGCCTGATGTCATGTGTATATGGAACATACCTTGAAATCATACAGTTGAAGACAGTCACCAGCATGAGAGACATGGGCATAATGAAAGGAGTCCAGCAGAGGGCCATGATGAAGAAGAGACTGCATCCTATGAGGAGAGGCTGGGAGAGCTGGAACTGCTCAGCCTGGAGAAGAGAAAGCTCAGAGATCTCATCAATGTGAACATATACCGAAGAAGAAGGTGCAGCAGGGACAGAGCCAGACACTTTTCAGTGGTGCCTGGTATGAGGGCAAGAGCCAATGGGCACAAAATGAAACACGGGAGGTAATATCTGAACACCAGGAACCAGTTCTTACTGTGCAAGTGGCAGAGCATTTGTCCAGGTTGCCCAGAGAGGTGGTTGAATCTCTGTCCTTGACAGTATTGAAAAGCTGTTTGCACAAGGTACTGGATGGTGTTGCTCTAGGTGGCAGTGCTTGAGCAGAGACTTAGGGTGATCTCAAGAAGTCTCTTCCAACCTGAGACATTCTATGATTCTTTGACTTTATTGCTAATACTGCGTGAACAGTTGTATTCCAGTCATCCTTTTCACTGTCCTGGCAGCATTTCTGTGACATGTATATTCTTTGGTAGTATAGGAAAAAGGAATCCATGTAACAAAATATAAAGTAATGAAATAAATCTAATGGGATGTTTTGAGGAGACAGTAAGTCACATTTGATTGAAGCATATGTATGAACAGATCAAAAAAGTAAATGAACAAAACCTGAACATTTTAATATATTTGTGAGTGTTCATGAAGTTAATAGTAAGTTTTGCTCTATATAATGAAAAGAAAGTTCTCAGAAGTTCTTGCAGGAGTTTTTTTTTTTTTTTAATTTAAGCCTTTAAAAACAGGTATTGGTGTCTGTTTTGCAGTAAGGCTGCATAAAAATTTCAGTGGGTTATAACCATTATTTCACTATGCATCATTTTTTGGGTAGAAGGTAAAGTCTGCAGATTTGGGATACTATTTTGTTAAGCTTTTATGGAAAACAAGGGCTGCAAAGACTGTTTTTTGTGATGTTATGAAGTGGTAATGTCAAGGTCACCTAAGCAGCTTTATCTCTTCCTGTGTAGAAATTTAACAAGTAGCTGTATACTGTTTCTGTGGGATGCACCCACCATGTCTGCCTACGTGTTTGTCAGTTCCAAAGCAATTGCCATGGGGTTCACTTGCCTGCATGTGGGATGGGTGGAATCCAGTAGCTGAGGCTATGGGTGGTATCCTTCAAATATAGTTCCACAAATCTGTAAAGCTTCTGCTTCAGCTCAGTTTGTTCTAGATGTAAATAAAGGTTAAATGTCATGAATTTTCCAAAAACTTTCATTATGCTTGATTCACTGTTCAGCACTCAGATAATAATCACTCTGGTAATTCTACCAGAACAGGGAGAGTTTTTGATGTGAAATATAAATCTCTTAGGGCTGAAGATTAATATTTTTTTGCCCTAAAATAGTTTTCTGGGGAAGAAATTGTATGTACTTCAGAGTTTGAATTCATTGTGAGCCTTAGTTAGTCGAGGGACTCTCTTGGTCATTTTGGACTGCATCCTACTCCAAGCACAGAATACTCATAAATTTCTCAGTTTGCCCAGAGGTGGGTTCCTAGATGTGGGATGTTCAGCTGGTAGTAGTATTTTTCTGCCTCAACACACGTGTGTTGTAATGATGGGTTTGTTTTATAGGACTCATAATCCTGCTTTTCTGCTGCAGAAGTAAGGGATGAAAGATTCCCAGAAAGCCCAAGAGATTGCCAAAACGAGTTGTGGGCATGGTGTGGGAAGTACAGGCAATCTCAGTTTTATCTCAGTTTTTTTTTCCTGTGTAATTCTGCTGCAAGTTCTATGCACTGCTAGATCAGAAGTTGTCTCAAAAGATTCCATGTGCCTATTTTACCATACTTTTCATATGAATTGTTTGTTCCTAGAGCACCAGTTTACTGGAGTTGCTAGTTTCAGCTAAGGTTTTGGTCACGAAATCCTGTCATAGGCAGGATTGTGGATAGATGGCACATTTACCAGTTATTTTCTTGACTAAACATAAGGAATACAAAGATGTTACTCAGAGTTAGCAGCTAAAGCATACATGCAGTATTACCCTTTCTTGGCTAGATTGTCTCTTTGTATTGATGTCTTTTGTGTTTGCATTCTAGATCAAGATAGAGAAGGAGCTCAGCAGCCTGTACAAGAGAATGTTTGAACCACTCCATGTGCCTCCAGAACTATTCCAGAGATTAACCGGGCAATTCTGCAACATTCAGACTTTGAAGGCAGGTCAAGCTTATGCTGCAGAGGATAAAACATCAGTTGATGACAGGCTAAGCATCCTGCTGAAGGGGAAGTAGGTGCTATAAAGCTTCTTACGAGTTGCGTGGTGGTTGAATTCATGAGAAAATTGGTGGATATTTGTGTTAATTTTTTAAATGTTACTGTTTGTTGCGTATTGTGGTCTATTGCCACATAGTATACATCCATATGCTATTTCTGGAACTCTTTTCAAATGACTGTGATGTCTCTTAATGCAAATACATTGTGCCTCCATGTGTGTATGCAGCTGTATTGATTTTAATGGGGATTACATTCTTATAACACCGAAGAGTCTTCCAGAGCAAACAAGAAGTTTGTTCTAGTTTTAGGTGTCTACGACTCAGTGCATTCTCAGGTTTTAAGGTTAAAAAGTACTGTGCATGAGGGAAGGAGAAAATAACCATCCATTAAGCTTTAAACCAAGAGGCATGTTGAAATTGGTTCGTTGCACTTTGTACATGCAGACAGAAAGGGGAAGGTGCATTGCTCAGACCTAGCTGGCAGACCCAAATGAGAAAGGGTAACATAAATTACCATGTCCAGGTTGTGATCTTGAGGTTCTTGCTAAGTTATGCCCAAAATTTTAAGCAGCCTCTGTGCAGACATCAGGTTTCATTACTTTTCTTCAAAGTCATTAGCAGCTCATTCCTGAAACTAGTTATCTAAAGGAAGCCTGATTCTGATTTGGATCTAGAGCATCACGCTTAAGACCTTTCTTCCTTTTTAACAGTTGTGTTTAGGGGCTGCATGCCACATCAGGCAACCAGAATTGGCTGCTAACCTTACATCTGGATTTGGTGGAGGTTCATGCAGAAAGTAGGTTGACTCCAACTCCAGAAGATGTGCATACTTTAGTCTGTTGCCTTCTGCATTACCGCTGTCAGTAATCACATTCAATTTTAATAAAATAAGTCAACCTCCATGTTTCACACTTTTTTTTATTTCCAGAATGAAGGTTTCTTATCGAGGGCATTTTCTGCATAATATTTACCCCTGTGCCTTTATAGATTCACCTGAATTTCGATCAACTCAGATGAACCGGGGTGAAAAATTCCAGGTATGCTTTGGCTTAAATGTCATTGGATGTGAACTAATGAGACAAGTAAAAAAAAAAAAATAATAATAATAACCAAGACAAAGCAAAACCCAAACACAACACAAAAACTCAGAGAAAACATAATTTTAAGAAACACTGAACTATTTGACTTGTGTAATTTTGCTGACTTTCTAATACTGGTGTCTGATGCTGGACCATGTCAGGAGTAACTTTTAAAATGAAACGCTGCAAAACAGTATTATGATGGTGTTTACTGTCTGTCTTTTCCTGTTATTTCCTTTCATTTTACTGTTTGCAAGCTTATTTTGTGCTGGAAGATTATTTGAGACAACTAATTTATAGGTGAGAGTTTTGCTGAGGTAAGTGATGATGTGAGCAGTCTCATCGCTAGTTCAAAAACAGAATAGGAAAATTAATTATGGTATAATGTAATTACTAAATTTATTACTAAAATGAAAGATTTAAAAAATGAAGGAACTAATCATCTGAAAGTTGTTAAAACAGTGTGAGATTGCACTGTTTAGAATTAAAATATTCCTAGGGGAACAACAAAAAGTATGTATCTTTAGAGGTAGAGCAATAGGAGTATGTATCTCTAGTGATGTAATTATACCAGAATGTTGATGAATATATCATACAGTAGCTTGTATTACTACTATTAGTGAAGGTTTTTTTTTCCCACATAGTACTGAAATCACTGTTGCTATTCTTCTACTGCATGTGTAATACTGACTGCCCATGGCTGGACTGGATCCGTCCCTGCTGATATTGTGGCAGAGGAGGAGGGAGGAAGAGTAGGGCAGAATCTAAAATCAGTGATTGATGTAACATGTTCCAGTCAAGCAGTAGGCTTAGTGCCAAAGGGAGATAGTTGTCAGGACATATTCATTTCATGGCAGCAAGGCATCCGGCAGTGCTGTACCCCTCTTGATACCATCAATTTTTCCCATAAATTACTAGATGTGAATCAGTTCTGCTGAAGGGGAAAAGACTCGCACCTCTCATTGTGCCTGCCTGGAAAATTATTGCAGTCTTGGTGCTTTGTGCATCCTTCACTTGTGAGGTTTGCTTGCAGTTTGCTATGACACAAATGTTCTTGGCAGCACCATCAACACAGGATGAAAATTTCGTCCTAGGGACTCCATCTGCTGGCAATGCTGCCAAGTTCTTCCTAAGTTTGTCACAGACAGAGGTTAAAACCCAAGTGTATGTGGCAGTTTTCCATTTTATCTTAGGCTTTGTATATATATATGTGTGTGTGTGTGTGTGTGTATTTATATTATATGTGTATGTATGTGTGTGTATATAAATATTTTAGATAAAGGTAGTTTGTGATAGGACACTTCATAAATTCTTCTGAATTCCTTTTGCAAAGCATGCTGTTACAACATCCCAGAGCTGATTTCTGTCTGCCACTGCCCTCCTCTGGCATAGCTGGACAAGTCTGACCACGAATTTGTAGGTGCTATAGACTTCCTCATTGGCTGCAGCCATCCACAGCAGAATTGTCAGTACCAAGCCAAAGGGTTCCTGGTCCAAGTGCGAGGAGGTAGTGCTTGTGAGATTCAGAGGTATGAGGTGGTAGAGAAAAAGGCATTACATTTTGTTTTTTTACCATATCCTTTTTTAAACTCTTTCATGGAAACCTTTGGCTTGCACCAGTTCTTGCTGCTTGGGCACAGTCACATGAACTAAAACCAAGTAGCATTCAGGCCTGTTGGGATGTGTCATCAATACAGGACTGACTCTGTATATAAATCTATTCTAACATAAATGTTTGCTGTTCTTCTGAGAGAAGACTTCTGAGAGATTTCCCCTTCACGTTACCTCCCGCTGGATTTCTTGAAAAACAAACTGCTCTGTTTATCAGATAAAATCTGATAATGATAACCATCTGAGAAGATTTACATTTGTAAATACAATTTTCTAAGGGATATCAAAGAGTTATATGGCTTTAAATTTATTTTAACTAGAGGCACAAAGGGAATGATAGCACTTATTTGCAAGCAAAAGAGAAGGGCTAATTCTGTTTGTGTTTTTTCAGGTCACCATTATTGCAGATGATAATTGTAAGTTCCTTTGCTGGTCCAGGGAAAGACTGACATACTTTCTGGAAACTGAGCCATTTCTTTATGAGATCTTTAAGTATCTTATTGGCAAAGATATTACAAATAAACTCTATTCATTGAATGACCCAACCTTAAATGACAAGGTAAGCAACTGCAGTTTTGTTTTGGAATTTACACACAAGTAAATGTATCATTGCTTCAACTTTAAAGTACCTTTTTTTTTTTTTTTTTTAATCTGCCACTATTCTGCTGAATTCATATTTGTTGCCTTTTAGTGCCAAAGTGTGTGTCAGTGCAGTGTTTTTGTCAGCCATTAATACTGGTTATTGTTAGTACTGTAATGTGCAAGAAAGGTGAATAACAGATTCTGAATGGATTGGCTAGTCAGCTGGTGGACATGGTGCCCAGCAGATAAAAGGTGCTTCTTCCTGGATATCTTCTCTTAGTAATAAATGGGTGCCTTTTGTACAAAGAGGCTTCAGGATATTTTTAAAAGAACTCCCCTGCTGGAATCAAACAGCTGCATTAATACACCTTGCCAAGAGGAATAACATTAAAGTGTGTTTGCAGGTTGTAAATATGAAGGGGGAAAAAAAGGAAATGTCAGGTTGATAGTCACTGGGAAAAGACATGAAATCTGTATAAATACCTTTGCTAAGGACTCTGACTGTAACTCATTCTTCTTTGAACGTAGAGGAAGTGTGTTTTAGGTGTCATGGTAAGTGGCCTATTTGTAGTCGTGGATATATTGATTATGTTACTTTACTTTCATTTTGTCTCCTTCCTTAGTTGCAGGGCTTTTCAACATTTGCAAGGGTTGCCATTCGGCTGCTGCTAGTGGGTTTTTTTATTATTTATGTACTGGCTGTAGGATTCTCATATATAATTTATTTGAAGAACTTTCACCATCATTTATGAAAAGCTTGGAAAATGTTAATATAGTGTTTTCATATTCTGTATTTATTAACTTGCACTAACTCAAAGCAAAAATCCTTATCAGATTGCCCATATATAAATATATGTTAAATGGTTATTTCTGCAAAGTTATGAATTTACTGCAAAGTTATGAATTTATAAATACATACTTTGGATTATGAAATCCAAAAGGAGTGGCTGCCACTGCTTCTTTACACGTGAAGCCTACTGATATATTTTGTAATGTATTTGTGATTAATTAGACACTGAAAGTTTTCTGAAGTTTCAGTAGGCTATAGAAAGAGAAAAATAAAGGAGTGTTGTTAAAGCACTGCTTGTTCTGCCTTCTGGTTAAGGACATACAGAATTATACTGGTCACTGAAACAGAGGGTTACCCTGTTTTGCAATTAGATCAACAAAATTATTTCAGGCCTTGTTTTCATTGATCATCTGAAGTTGTAAGTCTTACTAATGCAATATAAGATAAGTCATGTAGCAGGAATATACCATCTGTATTGTACATCTTATTTACATTAACTTTTTTTTTGGAGGGGGATGGTGAAAGGATGGCAAGAAAAAGAGAGAGATGTACTCTATTAAAAAACAAAAACACTTGTGTAGATGATAAGTCATTTCTGGAGTGTGACAGCTGGAACAAACATGTAGCAACATGCTTCCTTTGTGCACTGTGGGTTGCATTCAGCCAGCATCTCCTAGGTGACTGCTGTTTCCCACATTCCTTATCAATTTTCTTTTTTTTCCTATTTCTATTTTTTTTCCTCATCTTTTTTTCTTTTTTCTATTTCCTATTTATTTTCTTCTTTTCTCTCTGCCTTTCTCTCTACGTATCTGCTCCATTTCTTTCATTCTCTTCTATTCTTTTTATTGTGTGGATGACTCCAGGTACACTAGGATGTTTTTACTGTGCCTGATGTACAAAGTTATCCACAACACACTTGTGTTGCTGACATCTGGCACAACAGAACTGCAGCAGTAGTATTTCTTGGTAATACCACATGGAATACCTGTAAGATTTTAATTGGTTGATTTTAAGTGAAAGGTCCTTATCATACCTTCCAAATACTAAATCCTAATACTAAATACCTGCAAGCACAGGTATTGCTGTCATCTCATGGCAGTCCTCACTATTCAAAATGTACAGTTATATCTGCAGAGCCTGGAAAGTCAAATAGTTCCCCAGCCCATCAAGCTAGGTGAGATCAGGGCTGAAAGTGACTTTTAGGTTCTTCATGTACCCTGTCTATGTTTATCCCCATAGGTTCAAATATGGCTTCATAACATGCAGGTCTTCATACTGAACAGAGAAGTAACTTTTAACTTTATTCCGGCTAACAGCAGCTTTGAGTTATTTATATACTAAGCATATATTTCATTCACAAGTCATTTAGAAGAGCTCACACAAATATACAGATATTTGGCTTCACAGTCTTATGTATATTTCTTCATTAAATGATATTTTGCAGCAACTCCTTAATTTTGGATAAAGTAGTTGCATGAAAGACTATTCTAACTGATGCATCACAAAGGCTTCAGAAAACAATCATTCTACATGAAATGAAGTGGTAACTCTTGACTGTTAAAATTCAGTAGAATTATACATTATGTGTTTGTCATGCACATTGTACCTTTCTGATTCTTAATAATACCTAATGAGATACAATGTACTGTTTCATATAAATGTGATATAAGGTATCTCAGAATACTCCAAGTAAATGGAAAATCCCAAGGCCTTTGCATAGAGAGTAATGGTCACACAGTGCATCAGAATCAAGAACCAGTTCATAAAACAAAATGTCATGAAAACTCTACATGATTGTGGAACGTACCTTAGTGATGAATTGCCAGATAATAAAAATAAATTTGTCTGTAGGAAAATACCTGAGAAGTCAGTACAAAAACAAATTAAAAGTGAATAATTCGTGGCTGTTGATGTTCTAATTCCAGTGTATTACTGGCATTTTGTATCTGCATTAAATCAATTTACACTGCATAGAATCTTTCGCTGTTTCTTGATTCAAAGTCACAGCTGAGACCAGATTGTCAACTACAGAAGAAATAGCTATTTTCTGTTTTAATTTTTAATTTACTTGATCCCTTTTCTAATTTTTTATTTTTAGGCCTCAAAAAAGATTGATCGGCAACCAAGTCTTTGCTCGCAGCTCTCTGTGATGCAGATGAGGAACAGTATGGCCAGTACCAGTGACAGTGAGGATGGCTTGCAGATGTTTCTTCGTGGGACTTCCTCTTCATCTTCTCTTCGTGAGTGCTCAAAAATAGCTCGTGCCAGTTTTGAACACAGCTTGGTTGATCACTGAAGATGGTTGTAGAACTTTTGTTGCCTTCAGTGGAAGCTGAATGTAGCTTATGAGATGCTGCTGTAAACCAACCAAGTGTAGGGAATTGACAGTAGGGAATCTGTAAATGCGTAAGGCTTAGTATGCTAACTGAAGCTACTTCATGTAGACAGTGGAAAAAGCAACATGTATTGTAATTCTTTGAGTATAATGTGGATGTATAGATATCATATGGAATGTTTATAGCAGTGGAGCAAAACAGTGTGAATGCACAGTGCCTGTCACAGTAGTATCTCCTTTGGTCTGTGACTGGTGCTTGTAGAAATTAAAAAAATGCTTACCCTCATCAACGGGGTGCTCTGCATTTCCTCTGAGGCAGTTTGTGTTGGCAGTATCTGGAGAAGGATGGTGCACAACTAATTTTGAGTCCACCTGGAAAATCTCCAAATGTGCTGCCAAGCTCTGCTTCCTTGTGCTTTGTATGATGGGATCAGTACAGAACAGACCAAGCGAGGGAAGCTGTGTCTGACCTTTAGCTTCCAGTCTTGGAATTTATTCCTTTAAAGAATCCTTTTAAACAATTCTTTCTAGGCTTTTGATCTTGTTTACTTTTAATTTTCCCAAATCTAAACTTGAACAATAGTTTGAACTCAGAAAGCAGCTTTTAAAAATAGCAACAACAGCATAACAGGAGATGCTCAATTGTCTCTTTTGCCATAAGCTGTTTAGCAATTATAAAGGGTCACATAGTATTATTTACTTTGATTCAGGGAATATTTTTTTCTTGGGTAGTTGGAATTTAGATGTATGAGGAAAAGAATCACTGGCAGCTATTTATTGTGGCTAAATTCTGCTGAAGTTAAGGAAAAAAAGAAGTATTTTACCATGTAATCATTCCATTGTGTTCTTCACAGCTCTTACCCAAAAGCTCCTGCAGACTTGGGTGGCCTACCTGTTTTCACTCCTTACATTTAGTCTGAAAGCAAAAGCTCTGCTAGTGTTTCACCCTGCTAGAATGTCTAGGGTGCTATATATAGTTGTTAAGGGCTGGTGAAAACTCCAGTGTTATTTTCTCCATTTCTCCTCAGCTTCCTAAAGGAACATTTAGAATCACAGTAGAGTTGAGTTGGAAGGGACCTCTGAATCAAGTCCAGCACCGTGCTCAAAGTGAGGTCAGCTATAGCAGGTTGCCTATGGCCATATTTGGTCAAGCTTAAAATATTTTCAAGGTTGAACATCCAACACCTTCTCTGAGCAACCCATTCCAGTACCTTCCCACTCTCATGGTGAAAAAATTTCCCTTACTGCAGCTTATGGTTGTTGTCCCTTGTTCTTTAATGCATGCCTCTGAGAAGAATCTGTCATGTTTTTTGCTATTCTGATAGGTAGATGGACACAACAGTAAGATTCTCTGTGAATCCTCTGTAAGGCTGAGCACATCCAGTTCTCACAGCTTCTCCATGTATGCCACATGCTCCAGCCTGACCACTTTGGTTATTTTCACCATATTCTTTCTAGTATGTCCATGTCTTTCTTGTACAGGAGAGCTCAAAACTGGACAAAGCACTCCAGATCCAGGCGAATAACTATTTTCTTTGATGTGTTGGCTGTGCTTTTGCTATACAGCACAACTTATGAATGACCTTCTTCACTGCTGGCTTGTATTTGATTTGGTGTCCACCAGGACCCCCAGGTCTGTTTCTGAAATGTTGCTTTACAAACAGTTAGTGCCCAACCTGTAATGCTGTTTTAGCTTGTAGTGTCTCAGGTGCAGGAATTTGACTCTGTCGAAGCTCATGTCATTTGTCCAGCTTCTGAATGCCCCATCTGACTGGCAGCTCTATCCTCTGTGATATGGTTTCCCTCTTCATGTGGCTGTCGTGAATGAATTGGCAAGAGTACTCTCTGTTTCATCATCCTGGTCATTAATAAAGATATGCTGAAGTTTATGTGCCTTGGTACTGACTTGTGAGGGGCACTGCTGGTAACCAGCTGCCAGCTGGATTTTGTACTGCTGTTCACTATCCTGTGATTCCAGCAATCCTACCAGTTTACACCCATGCTGTAGTCCAGTCTGTTTCTCAACAATTTCACTGGATTGATTTGATGGCAAGCTGCTTGGGGCCTTGCTATGATCCAGTATTCACTACATTCCATCCACAGGGCCAGTCATTTCACCACAGAAGGTGGTCAGGTTGATGGGGTAAAATCTGAGCATGGTAAATCCATGGTGGCTGTTCCCAGCAATGTTCCTGCCCTTCATATGTTCGGATACAACTTTCAGGAATATAGGCTCCAGAATCTTTCTGGGAACCTCAGACTAGGCTGATAGAACAGTGGTTCCATGGATCTTTCTCCTTGTCCTTTTTGAAAATGGATATGACATTTGCCTTTTTTCTCTTCTCTGATTGCTGTGACCTTTCAAAGGTGATAGAGGGGGTCTTGCAATTCCTTCAGCCCCCTTAGCGCTCATGGATGCAGAACAGGAACTTCCAAAGTCTCTTGTGTGGCTTGTTGGCTTTAGTGGTCCCTAACTCAGTCCAAGTCGTATAAGTAAACTGTCAGTCTTCCAGTCTCTGCCACTACGCTTGCAGACCTGGGAAGCCTCAGGACAAACTTTACCAGTTAAAAACTGAGCCAAAAAAGATGTGGATTGTCTCAGCCTTTTCCATCTGCTTTCTCTCTAGATCCTGTGCCCCTCTGAGCCTGATCAGAGCCAAGCCCATAGTTTCCCTGGTCTTCCTTTTGTTGCCAATATGTTTGGAGAAGCTCTTGTTGTCTTTCACTAGATCCAAGTCCAGCTGAGCTTTGGCTTTCCCAGTTCCATCCCTGCATGTGTGGGCCATGTTTCTGTATTCTTAATGAGCTCATCCTTGCTCTCACTTTGTATGTGTGTCTGAGCTCTGTCACAACTTTCCTGTTCCTCTGTGACAGCCTTCTGCCACGCTTGCTCGACTTTCTGCACTTGGGAATGAACTGTCTTTGTGTTCTGAGAAAGGTGTCCTTGAAGATCAGCCAGCCAAGTGTTGGGTCCCTTTGCCCTTGCAGACCGTGGCCCCATTGTTTCTGCCAAGTAGATCCCCGACTAAGCTGCAGTCCCCTGCCCTCAAATCTAGGGCTGTAACTCTCCTATTTGTCTGCACACCTCTCAGTATCTTAAAATCCACCAGCTTCTGGAAGATGCAACCAAGGTTACTGTCAGCCTTCGCCTCCCTGATGAGTTCTTCCTTGTTCGCCAGTGACAGGTCCAGCAGAGCACCTCCCCTAGTCGGCTCATCGATCGCTCCTGCAAGAAAATTGCCTACTACAGTCTCCAGAAACCTCCTGGCCTACTTGTGCCTGGCGCTGCTGCCACCAGACATGGGTAGTCAGAGCTCCCAAGTATCCAGGCCTTCAACTGTGAGACATCATCCAGCTATCTGAAGAAGGCTTCCATCTACTTGCTCTTCTTGTTCAGGAAGCAGATACCTGCTGTGACGTCTCCTGTGTTGGTCTGTTCTCTGATCTTTACCCATAAGCTCTCAGCTGGCTTTTCACCTGTTTCAAGGCAAAGCTCCATGCACTGAAGCCAGCTCTTTGCTTAGAAGGCACTTAGTCAAATTGGAACTCTCAGAAGCCTGAAAGAAATTGTAAATGTGTATTTGTACAATTAGCTGGATTTAAAATTCTCTTTCAGGCCTAGAAGCAGAACCCTTACACCAGTATTTCAGCTTTGGGAAAAAGTAATCTAAATGCTTGACATTTCCACCTGTAATTACATTAATTCCTGAGATGCACCCATTCTTAGCAAGTACTTGTTAAAAACACTTTTCTGTTGTATGTCTCCTGGTTTGTGTATCGTATTTTTTCTGGTGTGTGGTGTGTGCTTTCCTCAAGAGAGAGATGGAAATTTCTTAGATGTCCTGAAAACAACAGTTGGCTGTGCCACTGCCACCACATCATGGGCAACAATAGATGTGATAGCAACCTATGTAGTGCAATGTTTCTCTTATGTCTGGGGAGGCAGGGGGGGTTACTCATAGTGCAGTGTAAAAGTACACTTCAGGAAATGCTATCAGTTCGTTCTTTGTGCGTTTTGATTAATGTGGAATTTTGACTCCTGCAGTTGATAAAAGATGTTTTGCCTGACTAAATCATAACGCTTTGTTTTTTCTTTTTGCCAAAATAACTTGTTAGTTTGTTTTTCTTGTGAAATGCTGCTGCCCAATGATGGGTTTGCTACCAAGGTGAGCTCTGTCTGAAGATCTGTACTGACTTCGTGCTGTGGCCATGTACGTACTTCTTCTCAGGTTGCAGGGAAAGCTAAAGAAGAAGGCTGCCATTTACCTTCCCACTGTTCTGTTTTCAAAAACCTTCAGTGCTGTCACACAGCATAGTCAATCTTTTTTCATGTGTGTTTTTTAATTTTCAGTATGAGGTACATACAGAGGCCCCAGTGCTGTGTTCCCCTGAATTCTCCTGCAATCATGCACTAACTTCTTAAGAACAAACAACAACAACAAAAAAGAATATTCAGTGAGGAGCATATGGAAATGACAGCTGGCTGTCTTTTAGAAGAAGAAGCAACAAATGAGAGAAATGCAGCATACAGAAGTTCTCCACAGTTTCTGTCTTGTCATTGCTGGATGATCAAGTGTGTGGACAGAAGCTTCCCTTTCCAGATATGATATTTGACTACTACAACTAAAAGAGATCTTATTCTCTTAATTTCCATGTTCTTGAAAACGTGAACACTTATTATTTTGTATTATCCAAACAATTATATTTTAGCTGTTCTGAAAATTACCAACTGACTCATTTCATAAAGAAAATGATGTAAGGCTATTTTCAAAGTGCTTAGCAGTGAAAGATTGAAAAATTCTAAGTAATTGGCCACATACTGCAGTTACTAACAAAACTGTGTTTTAAATGTAATTAATTAAGAAACTCAACTAACTGTTTGCTTTTATATTAAGGAAATAACCAGCACGAGTTCTGTAATGCTTACGGAGTGAGTCGTTTGCAGCATGATGCTTTCTGTTGATAACATCACATTAATTCAGCAAGCGTCCTCCAAAAGGTATCAGTGTGAGATTTGTGAATTATGGTACATGTGCTTGACATACACGATCCATCTGTATGTAACTTGTTAGTAAATGAAATTGATTTATCTCTTTTTCCAAAGTACGAGATGAGCAGAAGTAGTTAAACTCAATCAGAAGGACAGATTCAGCTGGCTTTCTGTCCTATAAAAACACTTTAGTACTGGGTTCTGTTCAGTAAATCTACTGCTTGATAGTCGTACCTACTAATGATATAGTTAGCATCATTTCATAGAATCACAGAATGGCCTGGGTTGAAAAGGACCACAAAGATCATCTCATTTCAACCCCCTGCTGTGTGCAGGGTTGCCAACCACCAGACCAGGCTGCCCAGAGCCACATCCAGCCTGGTCTTGAATGCCTCTGGGGACGGGGCATCTACAGCTTCCTTGGGCAGCCTGTTCCAGTGCTTCACCACCCTCTGTGTGAAAAACTTCCTCCTAATATCTAACGTAAACCTCCCCTGTCTCAGTTTAAAACCATTCCCCCTGGTCCTGTCACTATTCACCCTTGTAAACAGCTGTTCCCCCTCCTGTTTATATGTTCCCTTCAAGTACTGGAAAGCCACAATGAGATCTCCCCAGAGCCTTCTCCAAACTAAACAAGCCCAGTTCCCTCAACCTTTCTTCGTAGGAGAGGTGCTCCAGCCCTGTAGCACTTACAGCAACTCAAAGTTGCTGATCTACGAATCTGAATTTGTAAATTTCTGAGCTAAGCAGGAGCATGTTGTTAGATAGATTGTTTATTGGCCTTTTCTCACTGGCGCTTGCCATGTTGACCCAGTTGTGGGTTATAGCAAAATAGGGTTTCCTAGGAAATACCATTTTAATATGTGTTTGAGTTTAATGCCTCAGGAAAGTGCAGGAGCAGCGTATGGAAGGCCTGCATTTGAGGTCTGGTTCAAACTTCTGTTCAGCACTGGGTGGAGGCGTGAACAGGCAAGGTTTTGTGGTTGTGGAAAATAAGTGCATGACATTGAACCAAACAACAGCATTGGATCTGATATTGGAGTCCTGCTTGGCAGTTACAGCTTCTTTCTTTTGATTTCTGAGGAGAAGCAAGCACTTAAAAACAAAACCATTTTGAAAATTGCAATCAATTAATCTAAGCAATAGAAAAAAGAAAGTTGAAACTATAATCCAGCATTTTCAGGCACCCTTTCACCTTTGAGTGTAATGTTAGTCTCCTAGGAAAGTCAGTGCTACAGCTAAACCTCGGATTCAGACAGCTAACTGATGTGGTCGTCACATGTTTAGGCTGTAAAAGCCCATCTGTGTAAAAAGCAGTGCTCAGCAGTTCCAGTTCTTAAAAACGTGTGAGTAACCCTTTATCATGCCAGTAAAATAGCATTTTGATTGCTAGAATAAATTACTAATACATGTTTAACATAAAACTTCTAGAAAGCTAAACAGCATTTGTGTGAATGTGACTTAAAAATGCAATACCGTAACACTCGCTGGTCTTGCCTGTGCCAAATGTTTTTTGTTCCTTGTGTGAAATACGCTGCAGAAAGAAGTCCTTCCTCCTCGGCCTCCTCAGCAGAGCACTTTGCTATGTGCCCTTTTTTATGTAGTGAGAGCAACCCTGAATGATTGTGTGATACCTATTAGTACTTTTTTCCAGAAAATTTGCATTTGTAAATTGTATGCAGGTGATCAGTCAGACAGGACCACTGCCTCTTGCTCTTTTCTTCTGAAATGGTGTTTCAGAGATTTCCCTACTCTTTTTGGTTCTTGGTAGCTGTTCAGCTGCCTACAACCTTAGGGCAGTTAGGGTTGTATCATGTACCCATCTGAGGTTAGCCAGCAAATGTAAGAGTTGTTTCATGGCGAGAGCAAGTATGCAGATGTATGGAACTTCTATATGTAGGCAACCAGTCCTAGTGTCCTTTAGGAGAAAAATGTGAAGTCTGGGAAGAAAACTCTCTCTCCATTGTGGTGTTAGTGGCATTTCTTTATTCCTCATGATATCTACTGAGCAACTTGACAAAACAAGCTCGCTGTCTCAGACTCAGGTTCTACATTTAAACAGCTAAAACATACATATGCAATACATTTGCATACATATTCATGATTTTTCAAGAACTCAATAATATATGCTTGTGTCCCTCTGGGAGTGTGCAGTAGCAGCTGCTTGTGGTCTTCAACCACTTACTTTCTCCCTGTTTTTACATCATCAGCTTCTTCACAGAGATTTCTGGCTGACCTGTAGCTGTTTTTCCCCAATTTGGCAAACCTTTTTTGCTTGCTAAGCTATAATGAGCAACTTTCTATCTTAGTGCACTCTAATCCAAAACAATATATGAGAAATTGGAGGAAGAGGACCTTGCATCTGGTAGATGCAGAGATAAAATTAGTCTATTATGGCTCCAGTGCTTCTTGTGAAGCAGAATCATTGAGAGAAACAAGGCTATTCGTGCAAGTTGAGATAAACAAGGCTGTTCACACACCAAGCAAAGTTGAAATGGAAAGATTTAGAACTAGCACTCATTGATTCCTTTTGCTAAACAAGTATATTGGTTCTTAAACTGATACACTGATCCCTATTGCTAAACAAACTAGCCTGTATCAAGTCTAACAGTGGTTCTCAAGAACACCAAGGTGTGTGTCTCATGCAGTCAGGATTTGCACTGAAGCCTGCAGTGGCTGTAGGGTTTGAACCCTGAAGGTGTTCCTGGTGCATGTCAACTTGGCTGTCCTGCACCTAGGATTTCTTCATGCCTGTGGCCAAGTAAAAAAAAAAAAAAAGAAACCTTCAGTCATAAAATCTTCTTATGAGAGAACTAGAAAAGGATCATCAGAGTCTGTACTCTGTGTTGGTATGAATAGCAAGTATGTATTGTTAAATTAATTGCTGCTTTCTTTGGTGCTGTGGCAGGCCCAGGCCGGACATCACCCTACCTGAGAACTTCAGCAAAGATGAAGCCAATAGAAGAAAGTGTTGAAGATGATGTCTTTGAAGCACCGTCAGCTGAAAAGCTGGAGCTGCAGCGGCTGCCTTGAACGAATCTGTCATCTCGTGTGTAAGAGCTTGTACAAAGCTTCAGGGCAAGAGGAAGGAATCTGGAAGCTAAGAACATCTTTCTGTCTTGAATTTACCACACCATATGTCAGTGGCTCCTAGACAGAAATGTCATGCTTTTACTTCTAAATAAAGAAATAAACATACCTGTGTGGGTTTTGTTTCTATTCTCTGGATGTGGATATCTGTTTTGTTTTTATTCCAGCTCTTGATGTCGTACATTTAGAGTCCAGTGGCTCACTGGCCTGATGAGTGTAGAGATGAAGTATCTCAAGTTTCATTTCCCTAGGTTTTTAGCACCTTAATGTTTTTCAGCGGGAGATTTTTAAACTATGTTTCTAAAGTTATGGTGTTGTGGTTTCTTTTAGGTACTGCTGTTGTTGTAAGTCTCCTGTGAAACAGTACCTACTATTTTGTGTACATTGGCAGGTATTTGCTTCTAGTTCTGGCACTTCCTAACCTGACAGCTTGACTCCACAGTTGTAATAATGACTTTTTTATTATTTTGTCAAAATATTTGAATGTATAGAATCATTAAGTTTGGAGAAGACCACTAAGATCATCTGGTCCTACTGTCAACCCATCACCACAGTGCTCACTGAATCATGGATGTGTTTTCTGAAAATGTAATGTTGCCTCAAACCTTAACTACTTCTAGTAGTAAGTAAGTAAGTATATTAATACTGAGGCCTTGGTTGTTGTTTTGTTTTGTTTTGTTTTCTTCACAAGAGAAGGTCAAAGTCTAATGAAATTGCATCCAAGCTGTGCAACACATTGGTGCCAAATATACATCTCTTTACAAGGCTGTGGTGTTTCCAGTGCCTCTTGAGGGAAGGATGCCCACTATCGTCTCTTGATTTACTTTCTTAAGATGAGCAAAACAATACACTTTTACTTAGGCTTGTCCATGGGATGATTGATTTATTCTGGCTTAATCTTTGCACACAGCAATATGTGACATGGAGCTGATGCAGGAAATTCAGGTCAAACTGTTAAAATGAATCCTATAATGAGAGGCATTGGGATTTTTTGGGCACTTGTAGCAGCTCTGTCTGGGTTGTGGAGATGCATAGATAGTAGCTATCAGTCTGTGCTTTGCCAATTCCTGAAATTTCAAACAGTGTGTTTTAACTAAACAGAACGTAGATAGGATTCCATTTATTGCATTGCACAAAACTCTACTAGGTACAGTCACAGAAACTCAGCGTGAGTTCTCAAGCATAAGTATAAGGCATTAGAGGCTGTTTCTGCTCTGTCATTCATTTTAGTTCTAAATTGTGTCCTGGCAAAGCCTTGAACCACCCTGCACGTGAGGTATGTGAACCATTTGTTCCCTATTCAAAAGCTCAAAAAATATCAAAATGTGCACCTAAGTTATCAGAAGTGTGACCTGCATTGGTAGTGTTCCTGTTTCTGTGAATTTCAATCCTGTGGTTAATAATACACTGGTATATCTTTGGCTTGCTCAGTTTTGATTATTAAATGTCTCTTTGAGGAGAGCCATGGTTACAACTTTGTGTTGATAGGTGTGGGATATCTTTACACCACATGTTGTGTGTGAAAGAGAGCACCTTGGCTTCAGCTGGAAGTTGTTGCTTGTCATCGAAACCTATGCTATGGAAGTCCCTGTTTAGGAAGCACAAAGTCCTCTTGCAGCCATTACGCATCATTTGTAGGTAAGTGAGAGCTGAAATAGCTTCCAAAGCCACTGCACTGAAAAACCAGGGTGATAGATGGAGTCAGCAGGGAGCCTGCTGGGGTAAAACAAGGTCAGTGACTAGAACGTAACTCTATGTGAAAATGTTATGTCTTAAATACTCTGACTACTCTTAAATACTATGACTATGATACTGTAGACAACTGAATATAGTAGAAAGGAACATCAAATATTCTCGATGCAATAAAATGCATGCTAAGGGAGAAATATGTATCCTCGTTCTGGCTGCCCAGGGAGGTGGTGGAGTCACTGTCCTTGGAGGTGTTCAGGAGCCACGTAGATGTGGCACTGAGGGACGTGATTAGTGGGCATGGTGGGGGTGGGCTGGTGGTTGGACTAGGTGATCTTAAAGGTCTTTTCCAACCTTAATGACTCCGTGATTGTAATCAGGCTGTAGGTCCTCTGATCCAGCATCCTGGATGGTCCATGCTGCCCAAAGCATGGTCAGCTTCCAAATGAGAGGGAACTGTAAGTGATGGGGACTAAACAACAAGTGCTGTTACAGGAACCTGGATCATACATCTAAAACACGTTCCTTTTAGATTACAGCACAACCAGGCTTAATAAATAAAACAATTCTGTATTTACTTGCAGGTTTTACAAAAGCTGTTGATCACAAAATTGATCAAAAATCTGAGGCAGTTACAAAATGGTGAGAGATGCATGGGTTGGTAGGGATGTGCTTTGCTCCAGGGGACGGTTCTGAGCTCAGCATTAGGAGGGATGTTCCCATTCCAGATAAATATCCCATTCCAGAGGATAAAACACACCAGTTTGAAGAAGGATGCTGCTGTGATTTTTAGTGGCAGAGTAAAAAACATCACATAAATGTTTTGACCCTGGTGAAAATATCACAAAGTCCTGCCTGTTCCTGGATTGAAACCTGAGGACCTGTCACAGGCAGGGAACAAGTGCTTCTGTGCTGAATGCCAGCAAGGGTGGCTGCCTCTCTGGCTGCGTCTCTTGTCAGCTGGGATGGCAGGAAAGAAATTGGGAATGGTTTTACTCAGCAGGGAGATACAGGGAGTCCTCATCCTGATGTAATTTTATCTAAGTTCTGCCCGCTTTACGCTACTGGAATAGACCTCATAGATTAACAAGCAAATAACTGGGAAGCCTGGAGTGCCCAATGTACAAATAATGGTTTTCCTTCCTCTTCTTCCCTCTGTGCCACGCTCGTTTCTTTTGTCTTGCTCTACGTTATTCAGTGCCAGGAGAAAATGGAGCTCCTGAGCAGAACTTGAGGAGCGCTGTGCAGGTCGTGCCTCCCACCTCAGCCCCGTGAGCTGCCAGCAGTGAGAGCCCAGCCTTGTGCTGTGCCTGCAGAGCATTGCACTGCACATAATGAGAAAGGACTGTGTTATACTACAGGAAGCAATGCGTTTTACTGCATAAAAATATGTGACTGGAAATTTAAACATTCTGGGTGAATGGGTAAAATGAATAGCAAATGTTTACTTGCTGTACACAACGTGCAGTCTATTTACCTGTTGTTTCAAATAGGGCTGTTTCCGAGACAACAGAGGTTAAAACAGGCTGCAGCCTGCTTTAGGTACTTAATGAGGCACTCTTCATCACTGCTGCAGGAGGTGGGTAGAAGCATCCTGTAATAATTCAGATTTAAAGGATCATTGGTGTGCACGGGTGGAGGAGAACAGGCTGCAAACCCATTGCTGGCTCCTTCCAAGGTGTGTCTGGGAAATCAAACATAAAACAGTGTATGCTTCATGTTATGTTGGTCATAGCTTTTCCTATGCAGCAGTTGTGAATTACAGGATCAAATATTTTGTTTTGCTAGCCAGGATGCCTTGGGGGGAAGAAAACTCCTTTACAGTAAGAGTGATGGAGCACTGGAGCAGGCTGCCCAGAGAGGCTGTGCTGTCTCCTTCTATAGAGATATTCAAGACACAACTAGAAGCTTACCTGTGCCACCTGTGGTAGGGTGCCTGCTTTGGCAAAGGGGTTGGAATCAATGATCCAGCCCCTCCCTACAGGAAAGACTGCAGGTCTGCAGGTCCCAGCTCTGGCCCCCAATGGGGTGGTTCATAGAACTCTGTGTGAGTGTCACGCTTCTTGTGTGGTTCATAGAACTCTGCTGGTTTTTTGTTTGTTTGTTTGTTTGAAGTAGTAGCTTACATGTTTGAATTAAAAAACCCAGTGCGATGAAGTGAAATGCAAATAGCAAAAACCTTATTTTTATCCTGTGCTATTTCCATTTAAGAAATAAGCACAGCTGAATCGTAATCTCCTTATCTTCATTTGATAGATGCACTGGAAAGCAAACCCATGAGATAACAGACACTTGGGTAAACACATGAGGCTTTGGCAGGGCTCTGTCCTTCAGTAAACTTCTGGCACCCACGTAGAGCCTACTGCAAAAGTAAGGCTCAGCACCTGCAGGTGCGGAAGGCGGCGATTTCGCGAGCAGCACTGGGCTCGTATGGCTTACCTTGGGCTTGATATGGGCTGAGGGATCATTTTGATGGAGTTTTGGGAAGTGAAATCATAGTGACACATTTTAGCATTACTGGAAAAACAGCGACCATTACTTCAGTGATTGTTTCAGAAATGCAGTCACGGGAAGTACGTCCGAGTAAAATGCTCTTCCGGCTCTTGTGCAGTGTTGGTCCCAGCTGCTTTTGATTAAAGGGGAATGGGTTCTCAGTACTTAAGGGATTAATAAGAGAAGACAAACCATCTTAATTAATTAGTCCTGACATTTAAGCTTCCTGAGAGCAGGATGATAAGAGAGTCATTAGAGACTACCGAGAGGAGATATTATAGCAAAAGTTGCAGAATTGTTGGGTATTGATTGGCAAACTGTCTGCACACTCCTTTTCAGAAGGAGAGCCCTGCAGACCCCTCACAAAGCAGCAGAAGCAGATGGGCTTGTGTTGGGCTATTTAACGGAGCAAAATGCTTTTCAGTCGACAGCCATTGTGGCTATGGGGAAGATAATGCGTTTTCAGCAAGCTTAAAGATTAGGTGAGTTTTAGGTGCACGAGAACTTTTACTTAGCACATAATGAACATAAAATATGTACGTTACAAATCCAAGTTACAGCCGCGCCATGGCTGCGTCTGCTGAGAACACCTGTTTTGTTTTTCAGGAAGCTCTTTAAGACTCATAAGCTGTAACTTGAGCAGAAATTACAGCTTTGCACAGGGATGGATGTAAGTTGGGTTACGATCTCCGGTGCCTCCTTCAGCAGTCGGGTGCCTCTGATGAACGCTGCCCAGCCATTGCAATTTGCTGTGCTTGAGTTCTTCCTTCTCTTTCTCCTTGGGGATTAATATCCGTTATGGCAACATCCTGGTTTCCTGTGCAAAGTGCTTTTGGGACAGCAATTCCCCATCATCCTTTGTAGCAAAGAACAGATCAAAAGCAATACCTCTCGAAATACGCCCATGCGTGCGCTATTGCATCAATACTGTTTTGTT